TGATGGCCCAAAGTGGGGGGCAAGAAAAAGTAAGAGAAAAGACTCTTCACATAGTAGTCCTTTCCTTGAGGATTCTCTTTGCCTGCAAATTTTTGTCTCTGCAACTTTCAGAGCAGAGGCAGTTTCTGTGGATTAGGTTATACAGCCTCAGAGATTAACTAGAGGTGCTCACAGAAGAATCAGCTTTGTTCATCTGTGATTCCTGTGGCAAGAGGCAGAAAAACAGCTCTTAGAACTGGAGCCTGATGAATGGGTTTGCTTTGCAAAGCTCCAGGAAAGCACAAGCCCAGTAGGGCAGCGAGGGACCCTCACTAAAAGGATGAGAGGCAACAGGGATACATTGCAGCCAGGGAATTTCCAGCTGCATAAAGGGGATAAACATGATTGGTGGGGATGGTTCAACACTGTAGTAGGAACCCAGAGAGGCTCTGGGAGATCCTTGGAGACCTTGTCTGGGTAAGACCAGGAGCTTGCTTTGAGGCTGGCATTGGTTTGAGGGGCTTTTGGACTAAAGGCATCCAGGGAAAGAGAAATAACAACCAATCAGATGGATCCTAGGAAAGAATATTTAATTAAACCCAGGGTTGTTTTTAAATGAAGGATCACTTGACACTGTGGCTTTCTTAATTTCCATTTTAGGGTCGTGGTGCTGGAGAGCAGGCCGACGGACAACCCGACAGCCAACAGCAATTTGTACATCCTGGCAGGGCATGAGAACAGCTACTGAGAGCAGCACGTGGCAGCAGCTCACTGTGAGGAGAACACTCCTGCTGCAGCAGCACTCGTGACTGGCTGGAATTGCACAAAAGCTGCAGTAACCCCACTTCAGTTACTTTATAATTTATTGTGGCATGAGAGGAAGATGAGAATTGTTTGTGGTATGGACACAGAAGCATTATGATACCACAGAAGTGCTTAATTTACTGTTATGTAATCTTTGTACATATGCAGTATTTTTCAGTGAAACTTCTTGCTGAAGCCCTACACTGACTTTCTGTAGATAGAGGTCCTCCTGTTAAGTACAAGTGTCTTACCTGTACAGATGTAAAAGTCACTGAGGATGCAGAAATTAAATTGGGGTACTATTATAAGGACGTCTCATGTGTTTATTATAAAGTGGGATTCTAGCAACAAATATAGTACATTTAGCAACACTATTGTATTTTATTATAAGTAATTTACTAATACAAATAAATATTAACTTTTAGAAATTGTAACCAAGGCTGTAATCAGATTACAATCTTGTTTTAATTTCAATACAACACACTGGTGTTCATGTTTGCACAATGTATTGAGATGTGATGTATTTAGTCACAAAGGTAAGCTGTGACTTTGTGGATATGACTTGGGCTTCAAAGTTCCTTTTTTTGTTTTGTTTATTTGGGTAGATTCCTTTGTGAAACAAACCAGTTAAACACCTGTATTTTTATATTTAATTAAAACTTTCCTTATGATTACTTCTCTATGCTTGAAAACAATACCTTATGGATGGGTGTCAGTCCCAGACTAGTGGTACCTGGCTGTAATTCTGCAATAGGTGTTTGAATTATTAGTGTATACAATGATAAAAAGTAGTTAATTACTGTTTGTCTTACTAAATATTTTCATATCACGATGAAAAGGAGCAACATTCCACATTGTGGAAATGGCTCAGAGATGTTGCCATTTTGACTTTTTTTTTTTGGCCTTATAACCATTTTCACACTTTTCTTGATTTTAGGATGTTAACACATGGCCAAAATTTAGTTACTACCTCATTGAAACAATACAATGGTTACTACGCATCACGGGAACTTAGTTTTGATCAGAAGTATTTTTGATTGCTATTTTCCAATGGAGTGTGTAAATGCCAAGTTTTAAGCAAAATGCACACATTTGACTCCTTTTTTTGTATATGTTCTTTATATTTTATTGTGATAATATACACTAAAACCAAACTAAATTAAAAGTGATTTATGGCCTGCGTTATTGTTGTGATGGGTAATGCTTTGAAATATGTTCCCTAATGTATATAATGTAAAATAAATTTTTTTAACATGTTGTTGTACAATTAGCTTATCACCTGCACTGATTTTCCACATAAGACTAAAATGGAACATACAGAGTTTTCAATTCTGCTATTAAATGGTTGTGCCAAACACAGAAGCCGGGCGTCTCTGAATGTATGAGCAGAGGTTGCTGGAGCTCCACTCAGTTTGGGTTGGCATCAATACCCTTTTGACCTTTGGGCAGTGGACATGTAGATTTGAGCTAAGTCTTTCCAAATTCCACCTTGTGTGCTTTCTTCCCTCCATTTCCTGCTGTTCCACTTGCAAAACAGATTTTTTTTTTCAGCAGGTTTATTTTTCTGCCTGTGAGCCTCAAGTTCACTGCTTCTGCCAGCCCCATCGTGGCTGTTCCTTGTCCTGAGTGTCACCTCACCCTGTGGGGGAAGAGGTGGTGGCATGAGCTTCACTGCTGAGCAGCTGAGTTCTCAGAAAAGCTGAGAAGTTGTGTGTGTTTCACAGCACTCTTGTGAAGTCCCCAAGGGCAATTTCCATCCTGCCTCCTGTGGACTGTTCCTCACTTGGACATGCAGAAAGTCACTCAGATGTAGCAGAGTGCACTACAACTGAGGTGCTGTGAACGTGCTTCCTCCTGGGGGGGTCCTGCAGCAGCTGGGGCCAGGTTCCCCAGGCCATTGCTGAATTATAGGCACCAGAGGCTGAGGGCTATTGGTTTTTACTCTGCTTGGGCATTTTTGGTACGAGCATGCATGCAGGGATGCAGCTGGAAAGGCTGAGGATAGAGTACAGAGCAGCAGCATGTAGGAAGAAGGGAGCATTTTGCTAGGGCAGGTATGTTTCCAGTCTATTGGTATAGTCAGAACAGCTTTGCTTTTTCCATGCTGCTCTCCAGCCTTAAAGAAGTGAAGAGTTTCTGCTTTTTTGAGGAATTGTCCTGTTGCAGGATTGTGGGTTTGGGGTTTGTGCCACAAAACTGCCTTTCCTACATCTCAGGCTGCTTCCCTACTCTGCTGACAGCTGAGCCCAGGAGCCTGGATGTCTGGTAAATCAAAAGGTCTCCTTTGCTAGACCTGCAGCTGCCTTGAACTAAAGTTCTCCTGAGCCATGCCTGGTAGGAGCTTATGACTGGAATCCTGATGTAGGATTGGGATCAGTGTGTGGCTGACTGCTGGGAGCCCAGTCAGAGCCAGAAAACCCCATCACAGGCACCATGAGGTTACAGCAAGGCCTCTGCCATGGATGATGGACACAGCTCCTCCAACCACCTCTGTGCTTCCCTTTTCCCCCTTCTGGTCCCTTCCATGCGGGTTCCTAGCAATTGGAAGGAGCTGCTGGCAGGCAGGAGGGTTGATGTGACCACAGGATCAGGCACTCACCAGCCTGGCAGCCAAATCTGATCAGTGCAGGGGCTGAGTTTGGGCCTTGGCCCAAACTGAGCCTCCTTACAGGGAACAAAGGAAGCAATGGCACTGTGTGTGTGTTACACAAGTGCTCCTGGAAGCTGGGAGCACAGGGCAATGAACACTGCTTTTATCTTTTACCTGTCCATCTCTCCATTAAGTGCTGCCTGCCTGTGTCAGAAACTGGATCTGGTGGCATAAAAAAGAGGGGTTTCAGATTCAAATTCTGCATCCCACAGCCCTTAACTGAAAGCAAGGGCTGTGCAAGGTGAAGCACAGTGCTGGCTGCCTGCAGCTTTGCCACGGGGAGCTTGCAGTGGGTCTGGGGGAGCCCAGCAATGCTGAGCACTGGTGGGGGTGGATGTGTCTCCCAGGCAGGGGACATTTCTTACAGCCCACAGGGCTCAGCTTTCGCAATAGCCCTGCTGGGTTTTGAAGGATTGCATGGTAAAAATAGGGAGTGTGCCCAAACTTCTTGCTTCCCTCCAAGGAAACACACCTAAAATACAGGAATGCCTGTGTCATCTATGAGTAGTGTAGAAGAAGCTGTAGAAATTTGTCTGAGGAGGGAGACACTAGTTCTTTAGGACGTGTGGATACATCTCATCAGGTCCCATGGGCTTGTGCACCTTCAGGTGCTTTAGATAGTCTTGAATCCGATCTTCTCCAGCAGGTGACTCTTCAGTGCCCCAGTCCCTACCTTTCCCTTCTGCAGCTCGGGCAGTGTGGCTGGAGCACATCCTGGTGGAGGCAAGGGCAGAAAAGTCACTGAGCACCTGAGCCTTTGCCACGTCTCGAGTAATCACATTTCCCCTTTTCTTCCAGAGAGGGTCCTCATTTTTCCTAGTGTTCCTTTTATCACCCACACACCTGCAGAAGCTTTTCTTCTTGTCCTTGATGTCCCTGGCCATGTTTAATTCTCTCAGAGCTTTATCTCCTCTAACCCGATGCCTGGCTGCTCAGACAACCTCTCTGTATTCCTGCCAGGCTTCAGCTCCTGCTTCCACCCTCCATAGGCCTCCTTTTAGTGTTAGAGTTTGTCCAAGAGCTCGTCTATCCACACAAGGCCTCCTGGAATATTTGTCCAATTTCTTGTCTCAGCGGAATCCATCCCCGTGTATCCCACACCGATCCATCCCCGCGTGTCTCCGTCCGATCCATCCCCGCGTGTCCCAGCAGACCGATCCATCCCCGTGTATCCCAGCCCGATCCATCCCCGCGTGTCCCAGCCCGATCCATCCCCGCGTGTCCCAGCCCGATCCATCCCCGTGTATCCGACACCGATCCATCCCTACCCGTCCCGGCCCCGGGGCCACCGGCCGTTCCAGGGATCGGCCATTCGCCCTCCGGCCGGCAGGGGGCGCGCGCGGCCGCCCCGGCCCCGGCGTCACTTCCGCCAGGAAGGCCGCGGCCGCGCGTGGCGGGGCGCAGGCGCGGGGCGCCGCCGCTCCGCGCATGCGCCGCGGCCGCCGACGGAGCGGGCGAGGACGGGACCGGGGAGGCGGCGGCGCTCGCGCTCCGACCCCGCCCCTCGCGGCCCGCGCGCGACCCCCGTCCCGCCGCGCGCCCCCCCCGCCGCCCCCGCGGCCTCCCCCGCGAGCCGGGGCGGGGAATGCGGCAGCCGCCGCCCCCCCCCGCCGCTGCGGGCCTGCCGCCCCCGCCGGCGGCGGGGGAGCGCCGGGGCTCCCGCTGAGCGCCGCCGGCCCTCCCGCGCGGCTCCCGGCCCGTCCGGCCCTCCCCGGCGGCACCATGCAGGCGCAGGCGCTGCTCTACGAGTTCTTCAGCGAGGAGAACGCGCCCAAGTGGCGGGGGCTGCTGGTGCCCGCCCTCAAGAAGGTGAGGGGCGGCCGGGTGCCCCCGCCCCGGGGGCCCGGCCGCGGGATCGGGCTGGGCGCCGGGCGGGCCGCGGGGCTCTCCGCGCTCCGGAAGCGGCTCCGGGGCTGCCGGGGGTCTGTCGGCGCCGTCCCGCAGCGCAGGCGGCTGCCTCGGTGGGTGCCCCGGCGCGGAGGGGCCCGGCAGCCGCCCCGGGGCGATGCTCTGACAGACGGAGCCGTGTAGATAAGAACCGTGTGATGGACGCGCCAGTCCTGTCCCCCCTCGGCCCGGAGGGACGCAAGTGGTGCTGCTGCGGGTTGCTGCTGGTCTCCCTTGGTGACACGAATGGGAATAGGGGGGGCATTGTTATGAGCAGCTCCTGAGAGAATTTTTGTTAATTAGTGTTCGTGTCTAATGGCTTTTAGTTAACCTTCTCGTAGTTTAAATACCTTTTTGCTGAGAAGGCTTAATCAGGACAAACTAGCAAGTCTTGCTCCCTCAGGACGGTGAGGCTTGTGCCTGTGGCATGGAAAGAATTTATTCGGAAGAGAGGAAAAAATTGTGAGGGCTCCTCTTCCATCCTGAACCCAGAAAGTAGAAGGCTTAAGAAAAAGGTTTTCTGACACTGTTACCTGAGCTGGCTTCAGATTGCAGAACTTCACATGGTTTAGTCCTGCACGGCAGCACTTTCTGAGTTACTGTCTAGTTACAGCGATTAACTGCAACTTTTGCCTGAAAGGCTCCTTCCATGGGCTGGTTGAGAGGTCTCAGGCGCTGCAGTTGTACCCATGCAGTATTTCTTCCTAATTTCCCCTTGCAGTGTATTGCCTCTCTTCTCTGGGCATGCTCTTTGAGGTCTCCAGCATTGTGTGGCTTTGTCCAGTTCTTGGAAGTCTTTTTGCTTGTCTCATCCGTAGCACGTGCTGTTAATTTCTTATCCCTGGATAGTTGCTTCCTTGAAACTTCAGCACTAACCACACTTGTGGTGCTTGTGAGCGCTTGGACACCCATCCAACTGAATCCTGCTTGGAAGGTGAAGCTACCCAAGGTCCCAGCCACAGAGAGCTAGTTCCTTTGGAGGATGGTTTACTCCATGGTGCAGCAAATGTTTGTCAGATTTGGAAGGAGTCTCAGTGCTGACAACTGGAATACACAGAGCGAGGATTCAAAGCAAGCAAGCATTAAAACTTTGGGATAACTTGTGACATCTGAAGTGCCAGATTTCTTCCTAGTGGACAAGCCATTTGTGAAGTCACCCTGCTTTAAAGATGCTTCCTGAAGGAGCTGGATGAATTCTGCAGTGGGAAAAGGAATTCTGCAATCTGAGGAGAAGGCCAATGAGGACAAGCTACAAAGGATGACGAGCTGGCCCTGCAAGGTACTGTTGTCTTGATTTTGTCTGCTCTGTTTCTCTTTGTGGGTAGAGGGGTGACAGGAGGCAGGTGGAGTTAATTCTGAAGGCTTCACACTGAAACTTGTGACTGTCTGGCAGGTGTTGGCTCTTTTGACCTCAGCTTTTCATGAGATCACCACCTGTTTCTTACCTTCTCTCAGGCTGTTGCTACTTACTACTGCTGTTTTTGTAAAGATAGAAATAAAGGATCTGTCCAGATTGTCACTAGCTTTATTGAGGAGCCAAATACTTGAGTTACAGCAAAACTAAATGACAGACGAAAATTTTAAATTATTATCTTACTGTCTTTTTCATTAATGGACAAACCACATTGTGTATTTTCCTAATGTGACAGAGGTACAGATAGTTTTGAGTAGGGTGTTTTGCCCTGATAAAGGCCCCTAAAGTAGTGAACCTGTCACCCCTTGCCTTGAGGTGTTCAGTCCTCTGTCGTGGCTCACAAGGCAGGTGCAGCACTGCAGCATTGCAGTCAGTGACCCCTTGGGTAGCTCACCAAAGACTGAGCTGCACCTACAGGCCAGCACGTGGGACTGGTAAAGTGGAGAGGGTGGCAGCAATTCCCGGTGGGGTCAAAGGGCAGGACTGTCCTGGAGGGCAGCTGGTGCCTTGTGACTTTGCTGAATTGCCACAGCATTGCTGTCTCAGGAGAGTCAGATTTTTGGAAGCTCACGTATGTCCCTTTGTTGCTAGAGGAGAACCTTTCCTTCACTTCTCCCTTAGCTGACCAGATGCTGACACTCATTCTCAGGTAGTGACAGCAGCTGAACTCCACCTGAAACCAGGTGCTTCTAGAGGCAGAACTGTGATGATTTCACAGCTGGAAATTAGACTTAACAGTTTGTGGAGACCTGTGTTGAATTAATAGGTCCATTGAGGAGAGTGGCATTTAAGTTAACGTTGTAAGAGCACATATACCAGGATGGAGTGTTTGCAGCTCTCAGGGAAAGCTGCCACACGTGGACTGAATCATTAAAATGCCATTGCCCTTTTGTAACTGTGAGCTGGCTTCTAATGCAGTGCTCAAACTACAGCCTCGGGATTGCTTTCTTAAAAAATGGGTGTTGTTGAATAATTGCAAATAGCTTTCTTTTCCCCAATGGATTATTTTGATTCTATTTTTTATCAAGCAGCAAGCCCAAGAATATAGAGTAAGAATAAATCTCTTCCTACATCAGGCAGTTCTTAGAGGAGACCATGCCTTGTGTTTCATTAGACATGAACCTTAGCAGAAGAGCTGCATTTGCTTTGAACAGCTGCATTTGCAAAGAGCAGCTCTTGTACCACTGAGATCTTAATGTAATCCCTTTTCTTCTGATTCTTCTTCAGATGCTGTCAAGATAGACTCCAGTGCACTCACTTAGGAAGAAAATGATGTCAACTGAGATTCTTCTCTGCCTGGTCACAGTTATTTGAAGCTGCAAAAGAGGAGTGTTGCAGGGATCTTTGTTTGCTGGTGAAAGGCAATAATCGTGGTGATGAGGTACAAGAAAAGGAGGGAAGAAAGAATAACAACAGGTGTCTGAAATTGTAATTGCAAGGATGGACAGAAGGTGGGATGCTGGGAGATGCTGAAGATGAAGAATTCAAGACATTTGAAACACCAGAGGTCTTGGGTACCTGGAGACAGAGACACACAGCTTTTATTGCACCTTGGAAAACAGACTCAGGAATGACACCTGCCATGTGATGCCTCTTCCAGCACTGGTGTTCCTCTGCTGGTGAATTTGCACACTTTATTCTGGTCATAACCTTTTGGATAGTTTTTCTTGCACATCATTCTTTATGACTTTATCTCAAGGGTATAAGTTGTTCACGGAGCCAGAATTTCTCTGCACATGTATGATGCACTTGTTCCTGATCCATTGGTTCAGTAGGAAGCATGTCATCCTTACTGATGGATACCTTAAGCCATTTGATCATGGAGAAAAACTAAAGAATGTTCTGCTCTTTGCATACCTCAAGTTGTTTTGAATCAGTTGAGTAATTAACCAGGGGTTCTGCTGGAATTTGTTGTGGTCAGAACAATTGGACTGGTGTGGCTTGGCAGCTGAAGGGATTTGCTTCCTCAGTTAAGGTTCCTGACAGCGTGCTTCCAGGGACTCCATGTGTTGTCTGGACCTCTCGTGGAGCAAGAGGCATGGGAAAAGCTGCTTCAGTCACTACAGAGTTCTGTTAACAAAGATATTTCTACCTGATTTTTAATTACCTGGCTCTTCAAATTGGTGACGAACCAGTTGCCACTTGCTACTCAGAATGGCACTTCTTACTCTTAGCATTGCTTCAGAAAAGATGTTGAGCTTTCCTAATTTCTGGTCACTCTGGGTCATCTGTTCTTCTAATGCCTGTGGAGGATAAAACTAAGAACCTCCTACAGCTGAAGTCTTCACTGCATGACTTTTTTCACCTGCTTAGTGGAGCAGTGTAATACTGCTGCCCTTTTGAGACATCAGCAGAAATGTTAGCAAAAATCCGAGTCCTGCATCCTTGGTGAATTGTTGCTGAAGAGTGTCCAAGACATTTGTATTTGATTTAATTTCCTGTATTTTTAATTGATCAAGGTAACAAAACGTGGTCAGGGTTACCAAATATCAACAGAGATGTACAAGAATAGAAGAAAAAGCTTTTTAAGGAGTGCTGACTCTATAAGAACACTCATCAATGCAAGGTGTACATAAAGTACTTTGTCCTGGAGTGTTTAGTGGTAAGCTTGTCAGTGGTTTTTTTAGTCATTGAGGGAAAATAAAGAAAGAATGTGTTGAGTGAAAATGAGAGTTACAGCATTAGTGAAGACTTTCAAAGATGCTGAATTGAAGGAAATTCTTGCCAGAATGATCTCCTCTGTTGCCAAATTTGTTTCTATGATGGATTATGTCTACTAAAAATCCATTTCCAAAGGTTTAGAAAATTTTCAGTTTAGAAAACTACGTACAGTCAGTAAAGTGTCATCTTCTCTGATAATGCTTTGGAGGGTGGTTTGGCATGTTGTCTCATTACAGAACTCCTTCCATGGTCAGTATGATGTGGTAAATATGATGTTTTTTTCCCTTTAGACCCTTTTTTACAAGCCCTTCAGCTGCCACCAGGGCAGACTGGCAGCACAGCCTATGCTCAGCAGTGAAGTACAATTGTTCTTTAGCAGGAATTGTTTTTTGGTTATAATGTCACTTCTTGCAGTACAGGGGTAGTCTTGCCCAGTTATGAAAAAATTATCTGTAACCTGCAGTTGATGCTTCATTTTATTTCAGTTTGTTACATAGCTTTAGAATTACTTCCTTTAGAATTCCTTTAGAATTGTTTCCTTTTGTTATGCTGTTTTCTGAAGCTGCTGGAGCTTCTGCTGCTCCTGATGGACTCAGGTCTGATATTGTTTTTGGAAGCTGCAGGATTTGCCTGGTGTGTTCTATATTTAAAAGAGCACCTGTGAACCTGATTGTGTTGATTGTTAATGATGATTTGGGAGCATAAAGCTGGTGTTTATGTAATGGAAGCTGCTTTAAGAAGTTTCTGGAGCTAGGATTTTTCATCCTGAACTGAATTTTTCAGCGAGCAACCTGTTAGGCTTTTTCTCACAGCCACTGAGGAAGAGGTAACTGAAAACTGTTCCTGAGGATGTATCACTCAGATTGTTAAATTCACTGTGTCTTCCTTCCTTGTCTATTATCAAACAGCTCTTTCTAGTGCAGAACAAGCTGTTGAGTGTCACTCTGTGCTGGGGTTTGGGTCATCTTGTGACCAGCCTAGGAGTTGTTGTGTTTGACCTGTTGGGAGACCAAGCCTCTGTCTGACCCAAAGCTGTTAGATCTGCAGTCTTTGAAATGAAACGTTTCTCAGGGTTTGGTTTAAAGTTCCTACTGCTCCCCATGAGGCTTGTGGGAATGTTTATATTCTAATTTATTATGGAGAGTTTGAAAAATAAATGGTTTGAGAAGACTTTATGTAGAATAAGCTGCTATGGGTTATTAAGTAAAGATCAGCTATATTTGTACTATACATTAATCACTTCCTTCTTTGTTGTTGATTTCGTTGGCTTTTTTCTGCCAGTTTAGATTTATGGCTGCCCAATTTTTAAGGTCTTGCTGTTCCTAGTAGAAATCCTTTGCTTTTGTGGATTTTAAGGGAAGAGGACAAAGGCAGAGGGGAAAAAGCCATGTGTTCATATTGTAGCATTTTCTTTAAGTGATATAATTATATTTTTTTTAAGCAGGGACTGTTTGTCTCTGCTGATGTTCTTAAGCAGATCCTGAAAAGCTGTTCAAGAAATGCTGGCTCTGCTTATCTTTAAATAACGAAAACTCTGGCCATTTCTCTTTGGAGAATTAGGAAAGATTGAGAAGATTGGATATTCAAAAAGTGAATACATGAGTTGAGTGAAAACACCCATGGTGGCAGGGATTTGTAGCTGATGTAGGTTGTATTTGCCCTTTGGAATTTATGGGGTATTTTGAAGATTTGAAGCTTGTTTTAAAAGTTTTTAAACTGCTTTTTTAGTAATTTCCTTATCATAAGTATGTAGGAGGGAAGGGAACGGTTCTGTCATTATTTAAGGGAGAGGTTAAATGTTTAGATTAGAATCTGATCTAAACATCACAACACTTCAGAAGTTGTTAGTCTGTTTTTATCAAGTGTTTTCCTAAGTGGGATTGAAGGATCTGGTGGGATTCTAGCCATACTCCCCCTTTTCAAGGGTGATAAGGCAGGGTGGCCCAGGTTTTTTAATTTAAAATCTGAGATGACTTTATGAGAAAGATGGAAAGCCCCTGGTAATTCGATCTTCTCTTTTTTTTTGAAACTAATCATGTGATGGTTTATGCTAACAGATGTTCCCATTTCTTGTCTTCTTTTACTAAATCTTGCATCTTACCCAGTCTTGCATCATGTCTTAGATAATGGACTTGGGACTTGCACTGAGTACCCTCAAATAACACTCTGTCATTCTCAGTCTGAGCCTTTGGGTACTACAGTAGTGCAGATACTGAAATTACACATTTCTGTGATAACTGTGCACCAAACCATGCTGTACTTTTCCTTGTTAGTCTGGTTGTTTTCTTTTGTTCACTTGCATGACTTTGAACCCTAACTGGTACTGTCACGTAGCAATGAAGGTTATTTACCATCTACTTAATATAGATAAGCTGTGTTGGCAAGCCACTGGCAACTCATGATGTTTTCTTCTGCCAAGGTGGATGTTCTGTTAAAGTGGAGCTGGGCAGTGGCCTTTGGGAAGGATGTTGTCACTGTCCCCAGACAGAAATGCTTAGGGAAAATGAAACTTTTATCTCCTGAACTCGGAGTAGGTTATCATTGTTGACTCTGTTTTGGCTAACTGTGGATAGTGTTTCAGGTTATGGCCTGATGTGGTATTTTTGTTTGTTTGTTCTTATTCTTGTAGGCTGTATGTTACAGACCAAAGGAGTTGTAATGAGGTGATTAAAGTCTGGTCTGTTTTCTAAGTAAAGGAGAAAATCTCTTCATCACTGCAGTTCATCATGCTCTGTATTTTTAGAGTGTTTTTGTTGCATTGACTTGGTAATTTAATACTTCTTGAAATACAAAGTGCTGGAGTATAATACAGGGACACTGTAACACAAATCTGTTCAGTTCTGCTTTTAAAAAAGCACACATTAAAGGCAGCATCTTCCAGACAGCTCAGATCAGCTCTGCTCTTTAAGAGAACACTTTGGCAAGTCTGTAATTTCTGGTGTTAAGGTGTTCCAAGCTGGTACAGTATTTCAGATGTCAGTGTTTGAATTGTAAATAATGTTTGGGACTGCCTGCCATGCTGTTATTCATGTAGCTCCACAAACACACTCTAGCTGTGCATAGTGAAGTTCTTAGGAAAAGTGAAACTGTTGGCATAATCAAAATAGTTGTGTTAGCTAGTCAAATGGAGAGAAGTTCTTCTGTTCTATTTTTGCCAGACTGCTTTTAAGTTTAAAAAGCAGTGACTTCTGGAGGTGTTTTTTAAGACCTGCTGAATAAGGGTGTGCAGTCTGCAAGAAGCCAAACGCGTGATCCAGCGCATTTGAATCCCAGCAGCAGTTAAGTGAGCACCAGGACTATGCCCAGACATGAAGCTTTCAGACTAATGAGTGCCTTAGCAGGCAGGTGGATTTCTGTTTGAGGCTGTTGTGTGTTTGAACTTCATAACATTTAGTTCTTGCTATAACTGCAAACAGGAATTAAGACTCAGGTGTGAAATTAAATAATTATGGCAGCATTATTTGAATATAGACATGGGTTTAACATTTGGATGAGGCAGATTGTTGGGTTTTGCTTCAGAGTTGTTAGGCTCTCATGTTAGTGATTGAGAGAACCGAAGGTATTTTGAGTTGTGTGCAGGGGAACAGTAAAATGATGAAATTGGGGCTTGACAGATGCATTGCGAAAGTCATCTGTCAGCTTGCTCTGGCATAATATTTGCCATCGGTGTAGAACTGAGATTAAACTGTCTGTTTAAGCTCTGAAGCACTGAGCTTTGTGTACCTGAAATTTGTGTACCAGGGTGGTTAAATATGTGCTAATTTGTGAACTACAGAAATGCAAAGGAAAATTATACCTCAAGTTTCAGAAGTTACATGACTGTCTGGAAAAAAAATGGAATGAGTATTTTCTTGACATTAAATACAATTTATAGTGATTTGAGTACATAAAGCATTTGAGATTTTTATTTCTGTCAGGTGCGAGGGTTTCACTTGGGTTTGTCTGATGGACCTTAACAGAGCTACATTATTGTATTTTTCTGGGCTGTTTGGCTTGGATTTTGTCATATTTTTTTTTCTGCAAGTAAAGCATGTGGTTTGGGGAAGAACAAAACTCAAATCTTGAATTCTTCTTTCCTTTAGGTTCAGGTGCAAGTCCATCCTAAGCTTTCCTCTACTGAAGATGCATTGCAGTATGTGGAGGAGTTAATTCTTCAGTTGTTAAATATGTTGTGTCAAGCTCAGCCAAGAAGTTTTCTGGATGTAGAGGTATAGAGAACACTTATTACAAATGTTATTGCAAATAATTTGAACTATTACATGAAAGCTGCTATATTAACCATTTCACAATGCAAAAAGGAAACCAGTAATTATGTATCTTTATGTAGCACAGCCTTCTGCATAAAGCCTACTGAGTTCCCTAATAGCTCATTTTCATATCAATTTAATTTTTTGTTCAATGCACAGCAAAACTGTCTGTGTGCTGTATTATTTTCAGTAGATGGTGAGTGTAAGTTTTGTGCAAAAAGCTGACTGGTTCCTTTCAAAAAACCTTTTTGTTTTCCCACTGATATTGTATGCAAACTACAGCTGCTTAGTCTGAGGCTCTGTGCTGCTTTTTCAGCATGGTAATTTAGGCTGATATATCCCCTGCTGTCCCAGAAATTAAAACAAAAACAGTTCAGTCACTTTTTCAGAAAGAGTTTAGGAACACTTCTTTCCTCTTTACAAAGACCTCATCTCTTACCATTGCCTCTTCAAAGATCTACAACCTCTGCTGCTCAGCAGAGCAGCTTGATGTTTAAGAAGAGAGGTTGAGCTGAAGAGTTTTTCCATCTGAGGAACAAATTAGTGAAGCTGTATCACTTAAATTTGTAGGACCATGAATACCTTGGTAGCACTTGGTGCTTAACCATGATTTAAAGATTTTGGTGCCAGGCCACAGAGTCTGTGTGCCTGTTGGTTTCCAGTGCTTGACACCAGGGCCCGTGCCAAGTGACTTCCTCACGTTCTGAAGAAAGTGGACTAATGGCAAATAAAACCTCACTCACAAAAAAACCTTAAAAATGTGGCTGTCTTAGAGCTCAAGATTGATGAATTTCATTCTTCCTCTTCCGTTTTGAGCACTGACACCTCCAGTGGTGTTCCAGTGTCCTCTTTAATGGCTGACTTGTTTTGCAACATCATTCTGGTCTGGCAGCTCAAGAGACGAGAGCTTTGGGGAAGGTTGTTTAATGCTGTTTTAAACAACAATGACAAAAACCTCGACACAAAGTGTTGTATTATGAGTCTTATGGCTGTGAAGGCAGGAGAAATATAAAAAGTAGAGACAATCAAGCAACCACCATTGCTGTTCATGCACAGTGATGCTGTTTTTAATTATATGGTCAAACACATTCCTTTTTCCCCTGGGACACCTTCCTTGTTCAGTCAACACACTAGGAGTGTGAATTGGTATTAGATAGTGAGTCAGTTTTTTTTTGGTAGGACCTCGCTTTCCTTTTGCCAAAGTGTTGTGAAGGAATAAAAAAGCCTGCACGTTGGAAAGTTGGGTATTACCTTTAGAGAATAGTACTCTGTCACTTTTTTTTTTGTTAGAAAAGTTTTGTTTGTGTACTTTTTCCTGTGCCAGCTCTCTGTAAGTGGTCATTAACTTCGTCTTCCTCATTTCATGGTTACTCAAACAGGAGCCATATTTACGTAAGTGAGCACTCACAACTGAAACAGTCAGTGGGAACTGTGGTCTGAAAAAACAAAATGTAAAGTTATGTGAGAAAGTAAATTTCTGGCATCTGTGGATACTAGGGCTACCAAAAAGAATGGTGATGCTTTCAAACCTCCCGAGACCTGTGTGTGAGTTCCAGCAGGAGAGTTGTTCAGTGCATGGGAGTGTGCAGGTGTCCTGAGGCACTGCTGGAAGGAGTAAATAAACTGGGCTGTGTCTGGCCCACCTGTAGCCTGAAACTGGTTTAGAATATGTGGGTGCTGTTGGACATTTCCTTCTCCTCTTATGTTTATTGTCATCATCAGGGCAGTTTGCATGTGTTCAGTCTGGACCATGTGCTGATCAGTAAAGGCAAAACAAAAAGCCTGTTATCATTTCATTCAGTGACCATCCTGTGCAGGGAATAAAGTGTCAGATATGTAGTCATGTATTCAAAGATGAGGCATGGGCACAAGGAGAGCAAACTGTGCCTTCAGTTGCAGCTTAATTCTTAAATTTTGAGCAGTAGATAATACTCTGAAACAGCCTTATGCACATGGTAAGCAGCATGTACCAAAATGATAACATTTACACATCTTGTATAAGTTTTTATAGTTGAAATACAAATATTAGCAACCATTTATTTAAGTAATAGAAAGGAGTTTGATAACACAGTTACATTGCTGAGATCATTCAGATGGTGCATTTACTCCTTGGTCATGTTTTCTTGTCTTAAGGATCGTGTCCAAAAAAGTTTCCCCCATCCTATTGATAAGTGGGCAATAGCTGATGCCCAGTCTGCTATTGAGAAGAGGAAACGAAGGAATCCGTTGTCTCTTCCGGTAGAGAAAATCCATCCCTTATTAAAGGTAAGCAGTGATGGAGTCTTTGAATTCAGAATGCAGTTAGAGGTCAACCTCTTGGTTTCATGTAATGGCTGTGTGCTGCCTGAACTGTGAACTAAAAGAATTTAGAATATCTGTGTTTGTTGTGTAGTTCTAAGTGTTCCAGTTAATGGAATATATTTATTTCTGAGTTAAAAATCACTCAATTCTCTCTTGGACGAACAAGGCCAAGAACCCATTGTGTAAGTTTGATTTTTTTGTGTTTCATTTTCCATGACTAAGAAAACACTCAAGAAACTCATGGAAATAGCCCTAAATGTTTAAATTAGGTTTTTGGGACAGTTAGTTGGCTCTTGGCACTTCCACATTTAATAGAACAGCATCTCCAACATTACTGTTTCTTCTCGAGGCCTAAACACTCCTGTAGGCACACACAGCCTCTTTCTATTCCTAAAATAGGCTGTGGGTATGTGGTGAAGCTTTATTGAGCAGGGTTTTAAGCTTACTGACTGGTTTGAGTTGTAATCTACAATGTCTGTTTCATCAATGGAGTAACAGTGGAATGCTTTTTTGTTTTCTTCTTTTTTTCCTTTTCAGGAAGTTCTAGGCTACAAAATTGACCACCAAGTGTCTGTTTACATAGTAGCAGTATTAGAATACATTTCTGCAGACATCTTAAAACTGGTTGGGAATTATGTGCGGAATATAAGACATTATGAGATTACAAAACAAGATATTAAAGTAGCAATGTGTGCTGATAAGGTAAGCACAACTCTGGTTTGTCAAGTTAACCAACAACTAAATCTATAGGTAATTTTGGGTGGACAACGTCTTTTTCTTAGTGAGTACATGGAATATTATATCTTCTAAGAAGAAATTAGTGTCATAAAATATGGTTCCAGTAATGGAACAAAACTACCAGAAAGCTAATTGAGCTTATAAAGCTCTTGCTTATGCTTGTTAAATCTCTCTTTCTCTTGATTGTACCTGCCTAATGTCAGCAACACGTGAATACTTTAAAAATTACTGTAAAGCAGCACTAACTTTAGACTGTACTTCACATAAAAAGTAGTGTTTCAGTGGGTAAAACAAAACCCCCATCTCATTAGCATCTCAGCTCAATTTTCCTTGTAGTGAGATATGGGCCTGGTGAATACAGCCTGGAATCTCCTAGCAGTGTGCTAGAACTCTATCTGTGAAGGAAAGTTAGAAATGGTGGGGTCTCCTTGAATACTTGGATTGTTCCATGTGATTTCCTACAGTAGTGATGCTGTAATGTCCTCTTCCTCAGAATTAGTTAGGATTCTCATTTTAACCCAAGTTCTGTGTACAGTCACTGACTCTGAAACATGAATCACCTTCTGTTCTTAGAGCTTCACAAGTTGGGCTTCATGCAAAATGTCCTGCATTTTTCTGCTTGTAGAGAGTCATTGTAATGAGTCCTGGCTCACACCCCACATTTGGAGGAAGTGTTCAGTGATCCACTTTTCTTGAAAAGTTTACATTACTGATTGCTTGGTAAATCTTGCTTGGGTATGAATTGGCACCTCTGGTAGTCAGTGTTTAGAGTTCCTGTTGTGTGTGTAGTTCTGCAACAGGACTGGTTTCTGAAGCTGCTGCCCTTCCTCAAGGGTTCATTTTAACAAGAGAGCTCAGCAGTTAACGACAGAAACTGGGCCATGTGCAGCCTGTGGACAGGCCAGTGTTCACTGCAGATAGGTCACAGGGTTCTGAGCATGATCATGTGTGAGTTCCTGGTGAAGCTAAAGCTGAAAAGCCAAAATACACACAACTTTTAACTTCAGAGAATATCTTCAGAAACTTAGGTTGTGTACTGCTGATTCAGAGCAATAGAACACAGCTAAATGCTAATTGGTTTCGTGTACTTCACCTTTTAAAATTGTAATTGATTTTAGGACCGTGTTCTTGGAGAGATGCCTGGATTGGTCTGAGTGACTGGGAGTCTTCAGAAATTGCCACTGCAAATAATGACTTGCAAATTCATAACAATGGATGTTGCTTTTGTAATGCTCACCTGATTGCAGTGATAATACATCAATCTTATTCCTCATCAGTCTGATTTCATGTGAATAATAGGCTGTATTTATTGGTAACTCAGTAGTCAATCTCGAGAAGGTTCTCATTTTGCAGATTTCCCTCTCTTTGCTGCCTAGGTATTAATGGATATGTTCCATCAAGATGTAGAAGATTTAAGTGCACTAACTTTATCTGATGAAGAACCCTCCACCTCAGGGGAGCAAACCTATTATGACCTAGTGAAGTCATTTATGGCAGAAGTTCGACAGTATATAAGGGAACTGAATCTCATTATCAGAGTTTTTAGAGAGCCATATGCCTCCAACTCCAAACTGTTTTCATCTCATGTAAGTATTGTCCAAACCACAAACACAAAAGGCACCTCCTGTCATATCTATAAATACAGGTGGATACTTCCCAGACTTAACTTGTTGAGTCTAATGTATCAGTAGTAGAAAAAGCACTTTTCTTGAGTTCTGATATGGAAATAGTAAAAGAGCACTTGCAGGTTTTGTAGGACTGTGGAAGAAACCTTCCCATTTACTTATGTTCACTTACAGGCCTGTAATTTTGATATCTGTCACTGCTCTTTGTCATGTTTCAATAATGTACATTTGATATATTTTTATATATTCATTATTTTTCAAATACATTTTATGATTTTACATAAATCACAGAAAAAATGTATTATAAAATTACTGTAAAATCTTGTTCTATTTAAGGAAGTTCTTGACTTTCACATCAGAACAGAGTAGCTTTGCATGTTTGACTTTTGTCTTGTTTTGTTGCAGGATGTGGAAAATATATTTAGTCGTATATCAGACATCCATGAACTTAGTGTGAAGTTACTGGGTCATATAGAGGACACTGTTGAAATGACAGATGAAGGTAGTCCTCACCCACTAGTAGGCAGCTGTTTTGAAGATATGGCAGAGGTAAGAGAATGGTGGTGTGGGTTTTGGTGGGTTTTTTTGCTATTCATATTTTATTACTTGCAATTAGATCTCTGTTCCAGCTGGCTTTCTTCAGTTTCAGATCTCTTCTTCCAACCCCACTGTGATGAAGGGACTGTCCATTTTTTAAAGTGCTCTTATCTTTTTTAGTCTCTAAATCTCAGTTTGTAGAGTGGCTGTTTAAAGTTCAGAGAGTGGAGGTGAAAAAAACTCAACACTGATGAGGAGGTTTCTGTAAAACTAGAAGCTGGTCAGCCTCTTCTTAGTGCCTGAGAAGATCAGCACATCTTCCTGGACTTCACATCCAGCCATGTGAAGGACTAGAAGGTGGTCAGCAGAAGCCAGCACAGATTTCCAAAGGACAAACTGTAGCTGTCCAGCTGACTGTTTTCAGTGATGGCTGTGTCCATGGACAAAGGGAAGAGCAGTTTTTATCTCTTATCTGAACTAAACAGGGCCTTCAGCACAGTCTGTCATAGCATGGGGGAGATGCAGCCTAGCTGGTTGGATTGTAGAACGTGGGCAGTTGCCTGAGCTGTCAGGTTTTTAAAGGATTGTTATCAGCAGCACAAAGGTCACCAGCATTCCTCAGGGTTTGATACTGTTTAATGTCTGTATTGGTGTTGTGGGAGGAGGTCTGCCTCATCTAGTTGGTAGGTGCTGACAAATTGTGAAGGGACACACAGAAGGACAGAGCTGCTGCTTGTGGGACCTGACAGGCTGGAGAAATGGACCTATGGGAGCCTCCTAGGGCTGAGTAAAGGCAAACATGAAATTCTGCATCTGGGAACAAATAACCCCATGCAATGTCTCAGCTGAGGAGCAGCACTGCTTGCCAGGGCTGGGAGATCCTTGGAGATGGATGTGAAGGCTAACTAGCTCCTGGGTTGTATTAGGGAATGTGTCACTGGCAGTTCTGTGTAGAACTTGAGACCAAATCTGGTGTACTGTGTCTGGTTCTGGGCTTTCAGGATAGGCAAGATAGACTTGTAGTGAAGGTTGCCATGATGATTAAGGAGTTGAGGCCCAGGATGCAGAAAGAGGGTTGAGACTGCTGGGTTTGTTGATTCTTGAGAAGGCTGAAGCAGGAGATCTTATTGCTGTCTTTAGTTCCCTGAAGGGAAGGTGTGAGGATGGCCAAGGCAGATTCTTCTCAGTTGTGAACTGAGAGATGAGTGAAAGAACATGAAAATGGCAAAAAGATTAATCCTGATTAGATACTGGGGGGAGAGGGGGACATTTGCAATGAGAACAATTGAACATTGGGATAGGCTGCCCAGAGAGGTTTTGGTGCCTCTGTTCTTAGAGTTAGAACTCAACAGGATGAGAGACCCTGAGCATTCTCAAGCCAGCTTGAATGATGGATCTGTCTTTGGCCCTGAGGTGGGCACTGCTTTGAGCAAAGAACTGGACCAGTTGACTTGCAGAAATCTCTTTTAGGCTGAATTAATCCATGAGTCTGTGCACGTAAAAGTATGGATTCTTCTCTATAGGTGTTTTGGGAAAAGTGTGCAGAAAAGTCTCTCATATGTAGTATATGTATTTTCTATAAGAAATATGAAGTTTAGCTGTTAAATCAGTTTTGTAAACTGATGGCATGCCCACCCATGGCAGAGGGGTTGGAACTAGAAGATCTTTAAGGTCCCTTCCAACCCAAGCCATTCTGGGATTCTGTGATTGTAAAGTTATTCTGTGTCTCTTTTTAGGAACTAGCATTTGATCCATATGAATCATATGCACAAGATATTTTACGACCCGGGTTTCATGATCATTTTCTAAGTCAATTATCAAAGCCAGGAGCAGCATTTTATTTACAGGTAACTTGCCTTTAAATAAAGCATGTTGTTGATATTACTGTGTTAATTACATTGTCTTATTGCTTCAGTACATGTATTGTTTTAAGACTGAAACTTATTTTGTTTCTAGTCAATAGGTGAAGGCTTTAAAGAAGCTGTTCAGTATGTTCTACCCCGGCTCCTCCTCGCCCCTGTTTACCACTGTCTTCATTATTTTGAACTGCTAAAAGTAAGAATATTGTGTAAATCTGATGTGTTTGGGGATTTTGGGGTTTTTTTCATGGTTCTCAGTGTTAGGTGAGAGCTTTGGATGCTCAGTTAATTGTAAAATATTTTACTAGAATGTGAATAATAAAAGTGCTGTGTTGAGAGAAAAGCAGGCTGTGTGCTCTGCAGGTGGATGCTAGAATTAACTGAATATCAGCTGATAATTATTTCTGTTAAATTATCTATCAGTCTTGAAAGCAGTAGAGATCCACACACTCATATTCTTGGAATGACTGTTTCAACAGTGCTAGGAGGTGATGGCACATGGCTGTATTACAGAAAATGTCAAGCTGTTACTTTGTAAATTTGAAATCACAGCAAGATTCCCCTTCAGACTTCATTTTATTTTAATAAAAGCTTCAGTGTTCTTGCAGTGTACTTCCCACAGGATTGTAAAGGTGATATCTTTCCTTCAAAGGGAAGGCTTGGTTAATATTTATACTTGGGCTATTTGTAATTAGACCTTGCATTGATAGGGTAGCAATAACATACACATATAATAGCTGCAGAATGTTACTCTGGGTCACTTAACAGTATTGCATAATGATCCTTAAGGACTGTAAAGCATTTTGAGGAAAATATTCCCATAGGAGCTTCTTTTGGGCTTAATGGAAATTCATAAGCTATACAGTGTTCCAAAGAAGTATTTATGAAAATTTGGATCAGAAGTAAACAAAAAAACTAGCAAACAAAAAACCAAAACAATTGTTAAGAAATGTGTTGTGTTTCCTTGAATGTTTGGTTGGTTGTCTTTGGATAAGCCAGTAGTTCATCTTTGAGCATGAGTGTCTACAGTTGTAACTTCATTTTTATTGATTTAGATCTACATGTACACCTTTGGCACGTAGTATGTCTTGTATAACATGCTTTTTGAAAAACTTTGGGATGTGTGCCGGATCTGTTTGTCTCATTCATGGGTTTGGTCTGACTTCAGACATCTTTAAAATATGAAGCATTTCCTTTCATGGCAGTCCATTGGAAGTGAGGTTTGACACAGCTTGTTTGCATTTTGTACAGTAAAGACCTGCACAGACATAAGGTGTCTCTGCTCACACTGTTACCTCACAGTCTGCATGTGTACTGAGGGCTTTGCATACTTCATGTGAATATGGCACTGTATTACCTAATGGACAAAGCATGAAGGATTAGTGCTGTCTGACACCCAGCCATCCTGCCTTGCTTCTTGCCACTGGCAATTTTAGGGTGGAAAGGAGAGCATGTGTGCCTATGGAGCAGGGAGCAGCCCGTGTTTGCCTTTTCTAGGGCAGGCTGGAGTCTAAGCTGACCCCTCTCCTCCAAAGTTTATCAGTCTTTTTGCAACTTATGACCTCTGCTTCGGGAAAAATTCTTCTTTTCATATTCATGCTCTACATACACAAACACACAGAGCTCCTCTACCCTGTGTCAGCCTGATATTATTGTGCTGGATTTTATTCTGTATCTGATAATAAGCTCCCAGGTTTTCTTCCCACGGTGTTGCACATGTCACGTTTTAGTTGGACACCTGTCACTGTGGTCTGTCAGCACACACATGTCATGTACACAGAATAGGCAGTGAGGGATAATAGGAGCACATGAAGAGAGAGGTGTCATCTCTGGTGGCAGCATCTTCAGCTGTCAATGAGTACATCAATGTGCAATTCAGTATGAATCCCTGCCTCAAATAGTCTATGCTAGCAGTTGCATTTTCTTCCTTATATCTGGAATCTTTGAACAGAATCTTTGAACAGGTTGATTTTTATCTGCCACAGAAGGATATTTGTGCAATTATATCATCCTGATAGTTCCACTGATACAAGGTATTGAATTCTCTTGTGTGGTGAGAGGCCTGAGTTAGTGATTGCAAGCATGTCTATGAATAATCAAGTTTAAAATGCTATGAAAATGGACCTCTGGTTATGAAGAGACAAAATGTTGGCAAAGTAGCAGGTGGAAAAAAAATTTGATTTCTCTTGAATATAGATATATGTAAGGATAGACAGGTTAGCATTTATCTTTGAGCTGTGTTGTATAATGTTGCATATTTTGAAGTAATCTATTTTAAATGCATTTCAGTTACCTTCTAACTATCCAGACTACAAAAAAAAAAAAGTAAATTTCTGTTCACTAAAGGTTATCCTACTTAGAAACTAAAGCCTTCCTGAAGTTGGACAGGGTACCAGGAATGCACAAATGCATATTCTATTTTTAGCTGAATCTTCTTGCTGTTACATTGTTGGGTAATTACCATTGGACTAAGGGCTGTGTTTTCCTTCAACCAACCTGAAAGTTCTCAAACTTTATATAGGAACTATGTAAAATAGCAGCTTTGTGTGAAACTGCACTTTTTTGCAGGTGTTCAGCTAATAAATGAGCTTTCCTAAATCATAGAATCATTATTATGATATTTAGTAATTGAAGAATGGGTTTTTCAAGACCTTTGAATTGAATTGGGCACTGTTTCAAATGCTACACATTTGTATGCATGTATGATACTCTTTCATTGGGTGAACAGATTATTTTAAAGTTCTTTCTTTTCCAGGTAGAAATGCTGCAAAGCATATATAAACTTTGTTTATATAACACAATATATTTTGGGCAACAAGAGAACTTGGTAGGGATTTTGTGTGGTTGGGATTTTTTTAAGCCAAGTGCAGACTTGAGTCCCATGACTTAGGAATGGTAACTATCATCTCTTTGCTAATATATTTTAATATTTTAAATTAATGCTAATATTTTAAAATATTTATATTTTAATTGGAATTCTATCTATAGTATACTAAAAATCTAAAAGATTTTTTATACTAAAAGAAAGGATACTTTCATTTCACAGCAGCATCTATTATGTTTTTTTTTTTTTTTTCAAACTTTGTTCTTAGATGATGAGTAACTTTTCAAGTTTTACTGACTGGCAGTTCAGCTCAAGTAAAATACTCCTCAGTTGAACCTTTTTGTCTTCCTCTTCCACCATGCTAATGGTAAAAATAATTTTGGTTTGGCAGGGTCTTTCAAGATGATAACCTCTCCCTTTCCCAACCTGTTGGTATTAAATTTGTTACATGTTGCTGAAGAAGGCACAGGGTAGTACAGTGTTAGTTTAGGACTAGGGGATTTCGAGTTTGATCCTCTGAGTTTCTTGCTGTGTGTTTTATTGGGCAGCACATCCAAAAGTGTTTTGGGCTTTGAATTCACTTTGATTCTCAGCCTTGTTTTCACCAGTGTCCTGTTCCAGAGTGTAACAAATCGAGTGAATTCAGTTTGGAGTGCCATCTGTAAGTGGTGTAACCCAGCCCAGGGTGGAGAATCAAAGTCTTAATTAGTTGAACTTTGTCAGTCTGCTAAGGTTTTACAATATCTGCAATTATAGATCATTGTCTCACAACACTGTCTGGACTGCTTGTCTTCAGTAAGAGCACTGTGGTTAGCAGGTTCTGTTGCTTTAGTCAATTTGCAAACTATCCCTTAATTACTGTTAAAACCAGTAAATCATGGACTTGAAAGCTGTCAATTATTTCTAGAATGTATTCACTTAATATCAGCACGAGATTTTACTTCCTGAAATCACTTTTTCTTCAGTGCTTCTTTCCAAGGACAGCAACTTGTATGCACAGTACCATTTGAAATAAATAAAAAGCAGAAGTATTAAAGTTTTCCATCTCTCTGTGTATATAGCTGCAGATGTGGATGACTTATTACATCCACTGGAGATAATGTGTAGTTCTGGGTCTCTGTGACAGATGGAGGTCTATGTGTTAAATAAAGAAAGTGTAGCTTGACCAAACTGTTGCTAATGTGTGATAAGGACTACCCAGTGTATTTGGGTGTTTTTTAGGAGAAAAAGCTGGGGTGATGTAAAATTTGGACTGAAGTCTAAGAAGAGGTTTCCTAGAATGTGACAGTAGGTAAAAAATTTAGGAAACTTCATATTGTTAAGCTAAGAAGACTTGTGTTACAACTGGAATGTTGTAAAGGTACAGGAGTTGTGTCATGTGGTAGAAGCCAGAGTTGATTACAGCCAGGTGAAATGAGGAAATGAGATTCTGTATTTACTTCTTGCTTGTGGGGTTTCATTGACAGTATTTCTATTTCTTTTCTCCTTTAAGTGGTAGTGAGTTTATGGCTTAAGTCAGTTATGGGTTCATCAGCCAAAAGGGAGAAGTTGAAAGGGGAAAAAAAAACTTTGTCACACATTTGTGGGTGTGTGTGCGCTTTTCCCAGAAATTTGGCTATTGTTAATTGAATTAATTGGTCCTTAATTTTCTTTCTAGCTGTGGCACTCATTGATGTGTTTCCTGTGTTTGCATCAGATGAATCTGTGCACATGGGTGTCACTTCATTTGTCAGTGATTTATGTCATCTGTTGTGGAGGTGTAATGGGGCTGCATGTTTTGCTTCGTAGGGTTTTTTTCCTTACACACAGGATGTATCTGAGATTTTGAGAAGCAGATGTCTCTTTCCAAGAAATTTTCTAATAATTTCTAATACTCTTCTTTCCTTCCTAAATAGGTACCGCTGAGAATATTTTTTCTATTATCCCTCTAAAATTGCTTTTCTGCAAAAACTGGATAAAATATAACAAAAGTGAGCATAAAATATTCCTTGTGACCCTTTGCCTTCCAGTCCCCAGTGGCACTTGAGCTGTGTCAGTCAATCCTGCTGGCCCTGTAACAGCAAAGGCTGTACTTTGATCCCTTGAGGCAGGAGTAGGATGTCACAGGGCCAGACTTCTTTGGGAAGTCAAATGAAGCACGTCCTGAACTCCAGACTTGCGACTTCACTTGCGTGTTTAACCGTAGGGTTCCAAAGTCCTGTTTTCTAATCAATTTTCCAGAGCCACCTGCATGGCAAACGCTCTGTAGTCCTGTGGGAGTTAGAAGAGCTCTATTAACTGATTTGTTCCCACTTTTCAGGGGCTGTTGTTAGTGATGGTAGAGAGCACTTCAGCTTTCATGGCAGCAGCTTGTGCTGAACACCCAAGGCCAA